GAGCCATCGGAGCCTGATGCGTGAAATAACGGTGCTGAGCGGTTCAGTTCCTTTTCCTGTGCCATAAACAAGGCGTCGAACACGCTCGTTGCTCACGCGGTGTTCCCACCAGATGTGAGCTAAATTACGAAGGCACCGGTGGTCGAACGTAACTAGCCTCTTCAGGTCCGCTGCTTTAAGCGGCCAGGTTTCACAACCGTACAGTAGGGTCGAACGTACTGCTGCATTGTACACTCTACCCTTCAGGGCAAGAGTGATGTCGCGCCGGCGCCACAAGTGGCGAAGGTTAGCAAAAGCGCCCCGAGCTTTTGCTATACGATTCGTGATTTCATCTTCAATCCCACGGGCGCTGATACAACTTCCCAGGTAGTTGAATTTTTGAACGACTTCTAGCTGATCCTCACCAAGGGTCAGGGTAGGAGGCGGTCCAGACCAATCTTGGAGAACGCTTTGCACTTCGAGGGTGCGAAGCAAAGCCCGAAGTGACGGACAGCTAGTGCTAATCTGTCCAGTGCCGCTTGGCACGTTTGTGAGCTGTCACAGATCAGGGCAATATCATCAGCATACTCTAAGTCAAGAAGTCGTTCTCCTGGGAGTAGCTCCACACCTTCTAAGTCGTGTCCTGTGAACGCGATTTCCATGACTTCGTCAACAGCGAAGTTGAAGAGGAAAGGTGACAGCGGGCATCCTTGTCTCACGCCGCTGGAGATATTAAAGGGCGACGACAACTTGCCGTAAGCCCTCACTCTGCCCGAGCTACGCGCATATAATGCTCGGATAATATTCACATATTTCTCAGGTACACCTTTCCTGAGTAGACAGTCCCAAAGTGCATGTCTATCCACCGAATCGAATGCACCTTTGATATCGAGGAACACGACAACGGTGGGCCGCCAATATATGTGACGGTGCTCCAAAAACTGACGCAAAGTGAAGATGTGGTCAATGCAGCCACGACCTCGACGAAATCCAGCTTGCTCTTCACGAATCTGGCTTTCACGAGTGCCAGTCAGTCTGTGAAGGATGACACAGGCAAGCAATTTGGAGGCGATGGAGATCAGACTGATTCCTCTATGGCTGCCGCATTCCGATCGTGAGCCTCCTTTGAAAATTGGGACTATGATGGAGCGGCTCCAGTCGGTTGGGACAGTCTCCTGCTCCCACAGTTTCACTAGTAACTCGTGTAAATCATCCACAAGAGCAGGTCCTCCGAATTTGAAGAGGGCTGGAGGAAGATCATCTGGTCCCGCGGCTTTATTTAACTTCAACAGTTTGATCTCACGTTCGACTTCTGAGCGAGAGGGTGGATCCAAAGGAACAGCCCACGGAGCAGGGCGATCAATGGTCGGCGAGAAATCTAACAATTCCGACCGATTAAATTGCCTTTCAAAGTGCTCAGCCCAACGCTCCAAGCGTTTTGATAAGTTGTGGATAGGCTGTCCACTCTCGTCACGTATAGTTTCACTAACACCAGGTCTCCTGCTGCCCGTTTCCCGTATCAGACGGAATAACTCACGATGGTTACCAAGGGCAGCGGCCATTTCCATCTCTGTTGCACGATGAGACCACCAGGATTCGCGGTCTCTCTTCAGGCTAGCACGGAGTTTCGCCCGGAGCTCTTTGCGAGTTTCATTGTGTTCGCTTCCAGCCGGAATATGTCGGCGAGCATCTATAAGTTCCAGAGACTGTGAAGAGACCCAATGTCCATGTTGGCGATTAGACACACCACATGAGGATTTTCCTGCTGCTAGTAAGGCCTGTTGCATATGAGACCAGTGAGCTTCAATTGCATCCAGTGAGCGTTTATTCAACTCGGATGACAGCGTAATTTGATAGGCATTCAGAACAGTTGGCTTCGCCAGTCTGCCGGTGTCAATGCGCTCACAACATCGTCGCGGGCGTCCGCCAAAGCGCATCCGCAGGTCAGCACATACAAGTGCATGATCGGTGTCGACACCTGTGCTCCAAATCGAGCGACAGTTCTGGACGCAGCCTCTCCATCGGTAACTTATCGCAATGTGATCGATTTGCGTCCATAGCTGGTTCGAGGCTGGTGGGCGCCAAGTCACCCTCCGGCGGGTGCTGTGTCGGAAATTAGTGCTCGCAAGAAATAAGCGAGCATCCTCACACAAATGAAGTAACCGCTCACCGTTATCATTACGGGAGCCTATACCATGTTGGCCGCCCAGATGCAGCTCATCTGTGGATAATTTTCCAACTTGAGCGTTCAGATCCCCGGCCAGCACTACAGTGTCCGAGCTTCTTCTGTGGCTAAGGAGCTCGTTCAGTTGACGATAGAAGTCGTCTTTTACCGAGTCATCGCTACAGTTTGTCGGTGCATAGGCAGCGATAACGAATAGACACCTGTTAGTCCCACGCGACTTCGAAGTTTTGAACGAGCCAGCCAATCGGACCGCACACATCCGGCTACTGATTGGAATCCAATCAACCAGAGCAGCTTCAGCCCGGGGACTCAGGGCAATACCAACACCGGCTTGGCCGGTGCTCGAAGCTACATCGTCACCGGATAGGCGCAATGAGAAAGTGCTGCTAGTGTCACCTGAAGGGGATCGCAGAGTGAGCACAGAGCTCGAGTCTTGCAGGCGGGTCTCTGATAAGCAGCAGATATCGATCGAGAGGGTCTCCAATGTTCGGGCAAGTGCTGCCTGTTGACCGATCTGAAGCAATGTGCGAACATTGAGGCATGCCAGTCTGAAGGAGGATCGAGGGCTCCAAATGGAAGCCGATGAACTGGAATGGGCCGCTTGCTTGGACATGGGCCTGTTGACAGTGCAGGAATGACGCTCTGCGTTCACCTGTGAGTTGAAACTAAAAGACAAGCGACTAGTGAAGCAAGGTGGGGGAGGGCCGAGAATTGGGGGTTGAAAACAGGGGGGATAAAAGTGAAGCTGGAACGGGACGATAAGGGTGAAAAAGCGCAAGAAGGGGAATAAGAAGATGGGAAGGCTTGAGCAGTAGCATCCAAACCCCTATCCACCCTGCTCGATGCAGCAGATAGGGCACCGTTGATTATCCTCTGCGGTGGCCAGAGCATCAGCAATTTGTTTGAAGTGAGATTCATTGTATTGCGTGGGCAGGATACTGTCAGGTTGCCCAGGCCTAGACAGGAGAACGATTAGGGTTCTCAACCAAAGCCTTTGGTTCAAAAACCTCTGCGTGACAAAACAAGTCCGATCCAACCTTTCCAGTCAGGTCTCCTCGAAGCTGACGGTAGTGAATTGAGTACATTGCAGAAATAAGTAGACGCTTGTGAGTACGTTTTCTCTCACAAACCCTCAGCCAGCCTGTTATCGACTCGTGAAACCCTCTAGATCTCCATTTTGTCCTGAAGCAGGTAGGGCGAGCAAGCTGAGAAAAGCTTCACAGTGATTTCGGCAGTTAAAACTGAAAGAACGGCGTATTAACCACAACATTCGGAACTCCCTATTTGCAGCCTAGTTCAGGTTGTCGCCCGAATGCAAACTCATGTAATTGACGAAACGTACATTAACTTGGATAGGTGAAAAGGGCGTTCGAACCTACCGAGCAGGTCCTATGTCGTTGTAGCTCTTCTGGCTAGAGAACGCTACCAGGATGTTTGTCACTCGACCTACAGCCCAGACCTAGCTTCGTGTGACGTTTTTTGTTCCTAAATGTCAAGCAGATAATGTGTGCAAGCCGCTGCAATTCTCTAGAAGATACAGTAGAAACCTTCGTTGAGCTGCTTGAAGAATTACCCGTTTCGGTATCGTTTAGTCACTTCTCCAAATGCTTTGGACGCGTGAAACTGTTCAATAACGCTGGTAGAGCATACTTCGTGATGTAATGCTTATTTAGTTATTGTAAAATCCATGTATTGTTTCATTGTCGTACACCAGCAGAAATTAATCTTCTAGTGCTTTTGAGACGAGGCGTGTGCTTACAATGCGATAGCGATCCGCCACTGCAATGTCGACACCATGGGTTCAGTCAGCGACTTATGACACCGCCTTTAAGTACTAGTGGCCGCTGTCGTCAAGACCTTCAGGCGCACAAACTGCAAGCGGCCTGTTTGACTTGTTAATGACGGTGTGGCGATTGCCGCATTGGTGCCAAATGAGAATGCGACATTTGCTACACCTGTGGAGGTTCGCGGTAACTCGGAGAAGGAATAAGTTTTACATTATACATGGACGTCTAACTCGGAACTCACCTTGCATCGGTAATGTATGCTAGGTGGAGGAAGCTGAGCAGATGTTATGCTAAACCGAACGCTACCAGTACAAGCGAATCTGTGCTTCATTGAAATCAGTGTAAGGACCCAACTTGCAGTCGATGAGTACGCTGATGAATGTATGTTGTCTAACCATCGTCTGTAGGTATGATACTGATGTAGCGCAGCTACTTCGGCTTTCTGCTGAGCATCTGAATGCCGATTGGAAAAAGGGAAGAAGGGAGGCATCAACGTTAATGTCTCTTCCTTTTTGTAAGAAATAAAGCCACCCTTCTCAGCTGTGCGATGGCTGATGCAGCATAAATTACTTGTAATTATATGGCTCATATTATTAGTTGAACTGATATACTGTCAGGGCTCTCACATCTGTGTAGGATAGCTCGAGTCTTCAATCAGCGTACTCCAGAAAGTCGATGGGAAATTCACCGTGAGTCATTCGCTTCGGATGGATGTGTCTTGGCCCTTAGCTATAAGACGGGCATATTCCACCTCCCACCCAGTGGTCGCCACGACAGGGTTGTCCTAGACATGAGTCGAAGACAGAAGTAGACCAACATCGGGTCATTGATATATTAGGAACTCACCATCTCATCCCCCTACTAGATCACCGTACTGCTCTCCAGTTTTTTGTTTTGTATTGGCATTGGCCATGTTGCAGATACCAATTTCCATTCGCGCTAAGCGTCGGATTCACCTTTTATCAGCTGGTTTTCCCTTTCATTGTTTGCACGCGGCAATCTTCAGCGTGTTTGATACGTTACTCGTATTTATGGGTTCACTAGGTAATATGCCAGTTTTCATGATTTCACAAGAATTGGCTACTCAAATTGATCTGACACTGTTTCCTGTTCCAGACAATGGGTCACTCACTCCTTATCTCCATATTAATTCTCGATGTATCATCCAAACAAATCAATGGTCTATAGCGCAGCTTTGCATTCAACTTGGTCAAGCCTACTTTGTGTCAGCCGTCAAACACCTTTCGTTTTGCATTTGCGTCCGATCGTCTTGTCTCAGTACTAAACCAATGCGTGCTGACCTTGTCAAAGTAAGGTGCCATTCATTTTCTTCTCATGATTTAGAAATTCGAGTCGCTACAGGCTCTGCGTAAGCAGACCAGTCAGCGCTCGACTAAGTTGCGGGAGCTTCACCTAAAGAATGAGATTCTCACCACGGGTTTGCTTTCGTTTCCTAAAATTACTCTAAATTAAGCTTTAAGCGTTTTGCCCGAAGAATTCGATGGAGCCGATCATTTACGGTCTCTACGTGCCCATGTCCAGGAAGAAGACCACATGCTTCGACCCTGGAGACGAAAAATGTCTACGTCAGACGGCAACAGAAAGGAATCTAAGGTATCCAGGCATGGAACTAAGCATTTCTCCTTACCATGTATAATCTTTTTTTCAACTTGCACTATCGGGCTTTTATAGCCGATTTGGTCCATAGCGTGCCGTTTATGCGCACCAGCTGGGATCGCCATGCATGCTGACCACAAATTTACAACTGTACTGGCTTACCTGCTCAAAATTTATTACAAATAATCGATCAGGTGACTGTTATTTGCCCGGCAAACCCAGCTGATACTGTTCGACGTTTTCAGAGACCGTCGACAATGTACAACATTCAGTCCGGTCCAGGATCCTACCCCCGATCCTACTGTAACGATTCCTCAGTTATTACCACTTTGGTGCAAGTTATTACCACCTAATGTTTACTTATTACCAAACACTGGGTGGTAATAAGTTACATGTTCTTGAAAACAAAGATATTTCGTCAGGTACGTTTGACCACCGCCACCTCATTCTCCACTCTGCTCTGCCCTACATTCTGCGTTCGTGGGGCCCTCAGCTTATGACCCTTTCCCACCTTGTTTGTTGTGGTATTTACACCGTCTGCGGACAACCGGAAGCCACCATCAGTCGCCTGCCAGGTGAAGTAATGCCGGGTTATTGGGTTGGTAATAAAGTTATGGTGCTTTCTTCATATTTTTTAATTCAACAACTGTGTTTTTGAATAATTCTAATATGTTGCTTTGACATTGTATATCATTCTGAGGTCTTTTTTGCGCTCTTCCTAGCAATAGTGTTAGTTAAACTCAGAAACATGCTGTTACATCTTTATAGTATATTTATTTCAACATGGACAGGAGACAAATTTGCAGTTTTATTGTATCAGTTTAAACTCGGTCGAAATGCAGCGGAAACAGCTCTTGATATTAAAAGTGCATTTGGTGCTGGAACCTGTTATGGTCTACCTCTGTCTGCGCGATCCCAGTTGAACTGAATTGTTCCCTGCCAGCTACAAACCGCAACCTATAATCAGAAGGCGAAGCTTGTAGGCAAAAGTGTATTGCGAAATCAGCTACCGAAACGGGTACAAGTCGTGTGAAATCAACGAACCCTTTTATAAGTCAAGCAAATCGGCTGTCCTGATTGGTATATCAGCTCCTCTAGCGAATGGGAAGGTTGGTGCGCACGTCGTATGGAAGCGAACGTTCCTGAAACCACTTGATGTTTCGGTTGTACATCATTGGCTCAGCTTGTTTTCCGATTGAATTCCTAAATTTTCCAGGGAGAGTTTAAATAAATGAGTAAAGTTTTTATTCTCGACAAAACGAGATACGCCTTTACAGGCATGTCCATGTTAACATAACAATGCGTGATCAAGTATGTGCAAAAATCAGATATTTTGCCATAGCAGTGTATGCTTGTGTAGGGATGTATATACGTATGCAGGCGGGAGAGCCTATGGTGCGCTGAGGCTGGTGGTGGCTAAATCCTGACAGCTGCTACTGTTGCGCCATAATATCATGTCGTGAACGCCTGCTCGTGGCGACCGCTGGGTGGGAGTTGTGTTCGCCGTTCTCCCTGCTAAGATCCAGGACACCAATTTGCAAGCGTCAGTGAACTGACCATGTGCTAGACCCGCTGCCTTTCGGGTGTTCATTTAATCGAAGGCTTTGGCTGAGGACCCGAGTCGTTCTCCTGTCAGGAGTGGGCTCCCTGGCAGTATCCTAGTCCATCCTCTTCGGAGGTTAGGAAGTGGTCGATGGCCCTCTTCCGTAAAACCTAGCCATGGGAGACAACAGGTCTACGGGTTATAAGCTCACAGCTCGATTGGCGTAGAGCACGAGTGCCACGCATTGTCTCTGACGGTGGGAGGGCACCTCCGGGTGTTCAATGGATTGCTACTGCCCGCCTCAAGCCAGGCAGCCCCTGGTCAAATTGGTGCAAACCCGCCAAAAACCCACCAGCGTCTGGCCGTGGTCGCAGGTGCCTATCCTGCTACGGTCGCAAAACATATAATCATTGTTCCTGTACCTCAAAGGCTGCGTGTGACGGCCGTCAAGCAGATCCCCATCTGTCTCTGCAATCACATTCCCGAGCTGGATCTGTTCCCCACTGCCTTGTGGGTCAGGCTATTGAACCAAAGGCTCCGGGTGGAGTCCCTCAAACAAACCTCCAAATCACCCACTGCCTTGTGGGTCAGGCTATTGAGCCAAAGGCTCCGGGTGGAGTCCCTCAAGCAAATCTCCGAAGCACAACGACCACCTCGCGTGCGATTGCCCACCAATGCAATCGTATGCCTGCGCGCAAAGCACTCAGCATCGGGTGCTGGAACGTGCGCACACTACTGGACCGGAACTCGAGCGAGCGCCCGGAGCGACGCACTGCACTGGTCGCGATGGAGCTGGCGCGCTACAACGTCGATATTGCGGCGCTCAGTGAAACTCGGCTCGCTGAGCAAGGTAAGTTGCATGAAGCAGGTGCTGGCTACACATTGTACTGGGTGGGCAACGCCGCCTCAGCACCACGTGAACATGATGTCGGATTTGCAATATCTGATCGCCTCCATAGCCAGCTGGTGGGTGAACCAACAATCATAAGCGCGCGACTGATGACCGTTCGCCTACGACTCGGAAGAGGTAAGTTTGCTACTTTTATAAGCACGTACGGTCCGACCATGTGTTATCCTGATGACACTCGTGATCAATTCTACACTCAGCTATCCTCCGTGATACGGTCTGTGCCGAGGAGCGACCGACTATTTCTGCTGGGTGATTTCAACGCGCGCGTTGGGCGTGATGCATCGGTGTGGACAGATGTTATCGGTTGCGCATGGCATTGGTTCAGCGAATGCGAACGGTGACAGGCTGCTCTCACTGTGTGCCACTCACGGCCTGACGATCACGAACACTCGGTTTGCACTGAGTGCGAGTGATATAGCAACTTGGACGCACCCACGGAGTGGTCACGCTCACCTGCTCGACTATGTCATCGTACGTCAGCGTGATATGCGTGAAGTGCGCATGACACGTGTACTGCGTGGAGCTGAGTGTGGCACTGATCACAAATTGGTTCGGACCAAACTGTACATATATTTTCGTAAATCTATGTATTGCACTCCCGCCGTGAATCGGCGTAAATTTAACATTCTCTCCCTCGGTACTTTGGCGAAACGTACTGAACTGGAGAAGGCGATGGCTGCACGCCTGTGTGATGTGGAATGCATAGCCACAGTGGACGACCTGTGGCACCACATTCGCGATCAGGTGACAGCTGCTGCCGAGGAGACCATCGGGCGCGCAAACTGTAAGCCGCCTGATTGGTTTAATGTGAACAATGCGACGATCAGCGCATTGGTGTCGGAGAAGAATGCAGCATTTGCTGCACATGTTGCCGACCCCAGCGACTTTGGGAAGAGGAGTCAGTTTCGCAAACTTCGACGGCGACTGACCCGAGACCTCCGTCGCGTAAGAAATGCATGGTGGACGGAGAAGGCGAAGCAGATGGAATGCTACGCCGAAGGCCGCCAACACAAGGAATTCTTTGACTCTTTGTAGGTGGTGTATGAACCGAGATTGGAGCCACTGAGGACGCTGATCGATGGTAGTTCAGGCGCTATCTGCACACAAACTGCAGACATAATGCAAATATGGCGGAAACACTTCGATTGTCCCTTGAACAACCGTTCAGAGATCGACTGGCCTACATTGAACTGCCTGAAGCAGCACGATGTGAAGACGAGTCTGGTGGACATGCCGACACTGAATGAGACGCAGAGAGCACTTGCTCAGCTGCGAAACGGCAAATGTGCCGGAGCCGACGGGATCCCGCCGGAAGTATTGAAACACGGCGGACCCGCGTTGTTGACTGCGCTGCACCACTTGGTGCAGCGTGTATGGTTTGTGGACGAGGTGCCTTTTGAGCTGAAGGATGCCCTTGTGCTACCACTGTGCAAGGGCAAAAGTAGCAAGCAATGTTGCACG